CCCCCCCCCCCCCCCCCCCCCCCCCCTCCTTCCCCAAGTGTTTGAGCTTTGCAAAAAAAGGATTTTCCTGGTTCCTTTCTCTTTCTCGCCCCGACTTTACTTTACTGCAATCATTTGCCCTTTTCTTTAAACAAAAAATGACGAAATTGATGGACAGCACAAATTCGGGAGCCATAAGTCGTCAAGCATAAACATGAAATGAAGAACAAATGAATGACTGAAAAGCTACAAAACGGGTAATAACGTCTCTAAATAGCTAACCTTTCGTGATAATGGCAATATAGGCTTTAGTAGTTTCCAGGAAGAAGCATCATACCGAGGAATTTCCAGGAATACATTGTAGTCGAGATATCTATAGGAAACACTAAACCAACAGTATGTAAAATAACTTTTAAGAACATTATTGAGGGTAAAACATTTTTATGCTACGGTGTATAGGTGAGCTTTATAAAAAGAAAAGTGGAAAAGGCGGCAACCACGATCTGACAGTTCAGAAACCGAAGGACTTCAATATCCACACATTTCATTAAGGAGATCTTTCAATTTTAAGGTATAGAGGCTAAGCCTCGTGCAGGACAAGGCTGTTGAACCGACAGCATGGCCAGCCGAGCAACCTGTGAAGTGAAAAGTCGAAAGCCCGGTGCGGATCGTTCGTAGTAGTTTTCAGGAACGTAGTTGTAAATAAGAAGTAGAGGTATAGATACATTTTCGCTGCTCCTCAAATCCTAGGAAAAGGTAAAGACGGGACGGAGTCAACGAATAACAATGATGACGAATGGTCTATTTCCCGGATTTGTATGTTCAATAGCACAAATTATGAAGTACTGCCCAAAGTCGGGATTGCTAGAACAAAGAGCAAGCTCTGAAGTCGCTTTTGACCAGAACCGCATCAGACCCACAATAAGCACGTTGCCACGACCGACCTCAATCTTAGCACTTATGACTGGCAGAATATCTAGCCGCATTTCCCATAATTTCACCCAGAGTTTGACAATAAAGTATATTTGTAAAACTGGAAACCACGTAAAGAAGAAAACAGGGTTCGAGTAAGACTAATGGAATTGGAAACAAAAAATCGAAGGATAAGTAAGTACAACAGCAAAGAATCTCACCTTTCAAGGGGAGGATCGTGTTGTTGTACTACTATGAGCGGAAGATTTTTAGGATCAAAAGGTTTTCCAACGTTAATAATGACATGATTGCGGCCTCCATTCCAAATGTTCATGGAGGAAATATCAATTTCTTCATTAATAAGAATCACCTGAAAGGTCACCGCTTCATTTCTTGATGAACCACGCGATACTTGATAGAGACCAGGCATCGCCAAGTATCTTTCGATTCAATTCGGTTCGAGACAAAAAATAATGTGGAAGTAAACAAACCAACCAATAAACATGCTATGTTTGGATTAGAAACAATATTTCCTTGTGATAAAAGTTGCATTTTCAATTCTTCGAGCTGAGCATTTGGCTTGGACAATGGATATACATACAAAGGCATAAAAGAGGATATGGAGCATCGACTGGAAAATGAAAGACATAACTAATATCAAATGTGACAATATAAGCCATATTTAGAAGGAGTATAGTGAAGGCCTTACCTATAATCAATGGCACTTTCCCAAGTAAAAGTTGAAGAGGTCAAGGGAGGAGCTTGAGAAGGATTGGAGTTCTCAACGACCCTCGGATACAGGGGTCGGTGTGGAAGAAAAATCCGCACATTACGTCGATCCTGAAGTTCCTTCAGTGTTCGCCTCGCGCTTTCAATTTCATCCAATACAG